CACAAAGGAGTTCCAGTTGTTTTTATTGCAGGTAAGCTGCTCGTAGGGCATGTGTAGGATTTTTCTGTGCAAAGCTCCCGATGCATTGATTTCAGCTGCATTCAAAACCATGTGAAGCTCCCCTTAGTTCTTAATCAGATTTTGCCCAACAATCCCTTAAAAGCTTTGGTCATCCCTGTTGCTAGTGCATCTTTTCCTTCCACTCAACTTTCTCTGAATATTGTTAAATAAAGCTCTATGTTAACAACCAGGTTCTTTAGAAATGACCTTTTGTGTCTTAACCTTAGTAACTGTTCCTAGACATCTGTCCCCATTACAGCTGCCTTCTCAATAAATCTGTACCTTACTTACCCAGACAGAGAGATCATTTGAGGCTCAGGAAACCTTTGCAGGTGATTTGAGCTAATTAGCTAATTAGGGACTGACATAATGACTTTTTCACTATTTAGATTTTTCCCAATATTCACATTTTCTGATATACAGAGTATTGAGTTTTCAATTTTTGGAAGATATATTAAACAAAAAAACAAAATAATTATATATTTGTATATTCATATGTATAAATTTATTAAAAGTATTCTAATTTCTGTAATGTACCTTCATGTTTTCTCCAACTCTGTCATTTACTTTCAGTTGGTTGTAAAATTTGGACCGCAGCCTGGTGTCTAGATATCTAGTTTTTTCTTCACTTACAAGGTATTTTAAAATTAGCACTTGAAAGGAGGGGATATGATGGACAGAAAGTCTAAATATGTAACAGAGCATAGTCACTGTTGTTCTGCGGCTAATTCTATCTATAAAAGAGAGCAGATATATATTACTGCATGCCTCTCAGTGTTTCTCTCTGGTCAGCCTCTGTATATGTGTGCATGACATTGTGCTGACATTGAATTAACTTTCTGCTCTGCTCTATTTCAGCTATGTTTATATGGTAGCTTGGGGATATCCTAAATTTTCTTAATTTATTCATGCAGATATATGTGCATTTACATTTATGCATATGCATTTAGGTGTTTGCCAGCATGAATGAGTTTGCTCCCTTAAAGCTCTGTACCTGCACCATCTGGCCATATAATAGCCTCCTTCACCCCCCAGAATGAAATGGTTATGCTTGGCAATGACTTTAATGCTAATCCATTAAAACACACATTAACCAGAAAAAGACTTTTCTATGAAAGAATGCACCATTTTGGTAAGTTATTACTGGACATATTCTGAAAAAAAAAAAACCCCCCAAAAAACCCAGCAGGACTAAAAAGAGAGAGAAAAAAGAACATTGTTGCTGTGATTTCAAGAGAATTTTTAATACATATTTTGTTGACACTTCTTCTTAAAGTTAAATTTGCCTGCTTAAGAATTTGAAAAATATCTGGACCAAATGGTTAATATGTCTGTGTTTTATTAAATGCAATCCAGCAATTTTAACATTTAATTTATAACTCATAGTTTTCACCTTTTTGGGATCTAAAGGATGCATAGGAGGATTGTCAGAAGTACTGATCAATACTCAAATGCTTCATCTCGATACAGTACTAATTTAGAATGGTATTGATAATAAAAACAAGTGTTTACATATTTTTGCTATAGCATATTTTTGGGATATTTATTTTGTACATGTATTTAACTACCATCTGTGATTCTGTTAGGAAAGTATGTTTCATGGTAAGATTGAAAAAGCTCAGTTTTTCCAAGTTATTCTTTTTTATGCCTTTATTAAATCTTATTTTTTATCACAGTGGTAGTATTGAATATTTTCATGGATATGGATATTGAGATTTTACAATTGCATAGCTTTTAATACGACCAATATTTGATTCCTAATCCCAGAAAACCTCTGCTAAAAACATCAGCTGAACTGAACATCTAGTATCATAATTGATTGCAATTCAGGAGCAATTTCTAAAACTACCAGCCAACAATGAGAATGCGACACAAAAAAGGAAGTCAGGTGTCTACAAGAAAAATGTATAGAAATAAATAAAAAGCCTTTGTTCTAACTTTGAACCTTTCTTTACTTCCATATTCTCCTATTGGCAAAATTAAGAGAAATGGACAGAAAGAATAAAGGAAGGAAAACTATCTATGGCAGATTAGAGTCCAGATATCAAATAAAAAACATTCTTCAAATGAAGTGGAGCGAGTATGCAATCAGGTTAGGTGTGAGCACCCTGTTTTAAATGTGTTCTATTGCCATCATACCTGAATATGTCTCTATAGCATGAAGGGAAATACCTATTCCTTCTGGCCCCCTTCCACCTATGGATGCCCCAGAATGAACTAGGCAGTGCTGATGAACAGAAGGATTTCCATGTTTACACCCTGCACCATACACTTTATTCAGCTTCAAAGCACCAATTCCATCTCATTTTCTTGTGATTTTAACAAACACAGCAATACAAAGCAAGGCATAACCGTAATATAAAAGGAAAATAACTCAAATTCTCACATCTAAAAAGTTTTGTAGGTATTTGTATTCATTCCTTCTGCAATAAATGCTGCAAGTTTTGAGAATTACAGTGTTTCCCTGGCAACATTGCAGATCTTAAATGTTTTACTTTGGGCTGTATTTAGTTGGACCGAGGTTTGGATTGGTTTGGTCCTTCTAACAGAGGAACATGATCTGATCTAAACCCCTGGATGTTTAGAACCATCTTGCAGGAAGGTAAACCTACTGCCCAGGCTCACATATTTTGCATCCTTTTTTTCTAGGATTATCCTGTATTTAGCTCCAACCATCACCTCTAGGCAGCTTTGTTGCTGAAGAAGAAAAGCATCCCCACAGCATGCTGCTGCCACCGCCATGCTGTAACTACTACTAAGGCTGCAACAAATCAATATTCTGCAAATTAATCTGTCGACTATTTTTTTGAATGATCGATTAATAATCGGACAACCAAAGGTTCCCTAAAGAAGATTTTTTCAGAAATTAAACCAGGTGAAACTAAAATCTTTACACTTGAGGAGTTCAGGATAGAGCATATTGCTGGGCGAAAAACTTTTTTTTTAAATCTTAAATGCAAAATATTTATATGTTTTCCTTTTTTTTTTTTTTTTTTTTACAATTTTGATATAATTGCTGCTCTAAGTGGGTTGCTCTGCCAGTGAAAGGCATGCTGTACAGTCTCTATACTCCATTTAATGATTAATAGATTACTTATTTTAACAATCAATTAATCACTATTAATTCCATGAATTGTTTCAGCCCAAGTAAGAACCACATTTTAATTTTACACTTGTATTTCACACTTAGGCAAACAATTCCATTTTGTTCTAATTTGTTCCAGAGTTCATGTTTTGCATGTGCCATATGTGTCCCCTTCATGGTTGAGGGGAAAACTTTGATTGAGATTTTTATTAGTTTGCTTCCAAAAATGGCTACATTCTTGCCTACCTTCTCAAGCTGTCCAATCAACAGAATATCATAAAAGTAAATTCCATGTATAGATTTTAGAAAGAGGTCCTAAATCCACCAGTTTGATCATTTAAGAGGGAATCTGCAGAGCATGTCCAAGCTGAGAATCAGTGCTTCATTTTATATTTATTGCATGTTAAGCAGCCTTTTATTAGCAGACAAAAAAATTATAAATATAAAATGCCAGTAAACTCATCAACTTGTCAAGGTTGTTTGAGATTTTCTAAAGGTGGCTCAAATCTAACCCTTGTTATTGTCCCCTGTTCTATTTAACCACCAAACAGTGAAATATGAGCTTGCACCTTCAGCCAGGAGATTCAAATTTTCAAAGTCCATGGCTAAGGGACAAAAAACTTACTAAAGCTATTTGTTTATTTATACAGTACAGCTGAATTGTTTTGAAATATTACATTATAGCTGGAGATTTGCTGTTTCTTCATCGTTCTTTTTGTTCTCTTACAAAACATATGTGCTCTTTACAGAAGATTTGCATTTATACTGAAATTAAAAGAGGAAAAATGTTGAATCTACTGCATTTACTGATTAAAAATTAAGTGATACACTTCCTCAGATGCTTTAGCATGCCTTGTGTGCAGATGAAGTGCTGCTGATGGGAAATTACAATTAATACTGACCATATAATTTGTTTATTTTCCCCACATATTGATTGATTACCATCACAAAAAAATAATAAAAAATGTTTCAATTAAGTTAAAATTGGCTCTTACTGGCATTGCAATAAGGATCAGCAAACTTTGATGTTGTCTTTAGGATTTTCTAAATGTTGTCTTTTTTGTTGGATAATTTAACTCATATATGCCAATCTAAATTCGATAAAATATATCAGGTCAAAGTTTAAAATGACACTAGTCGTTTTAATTCAGAGTGCCAGAGTAAGAGGGCGGTTGAATTTAAAAGCAACATATGCTGCTTTGATCTGTTTATCTCTTTAAGCCCAGCCGAATGATTTTAAACAGACAGACATCTTGAGATGGAAATACATTTTTTGCAAAACAAAGTAAGATTAAATGGAATTTTTGAACATGGCTTTTTCTGGAGCATTAGTAACCTTGCTAAAGACTACAAGAAAATCTGCCTAAATTAAGGTTTACTTAATTTGCACAGTGCTGTATAGGAACACACTAAAGCAGTCATTTTTAAATTTATTTTGTGTTTGTTTACTTCATTCAACAGTTGCTCGCTCCACACAGCCCCAGTGTCATTCATCTGAAGCTGTCAGCAGAAAAAAGCTATGTAACCCATCAAACAGATTAGTTTATGGAAAATGTCTGTCAGGGATGCAGAAAGAAAACATGCAGATTGAGGTGTTTATTAGTTATATTTCTGACTAGGAAAGACTCCTGTCTGCAGGATTGCAGGCTTTTCATTGGAGAGAGGGAGCATCCAAGTTCTTGATTAGAAGAGCTGCAGTCAATGATGCTCCTCTGGTCTGGCAATGCATGGGAGATAGGAGGGTGTCTGCCACCGCATGCGTGCAGAGAAGAGGGGGCTGCACGTGAACGCATGGGACGTACCCATGCAAACGCACAGACAGACAGGAAGGCAGACAGACAGACTGATCACGTACCTTCCAGACAGCAGGTTCGCCAGAGGCCGGAGTGCGTCATCACCTCCTCGTTCTTGCGGCTCGTGTCGTTGTCGCCGCTGCTCTTCACGCGGCAAACCCCGCGCGAGTACAGCCAGTAGTCCGTGCCGACGGCGATGGTCATGAGGCTGAAGGCGGCGAACGCGCCCACCGTCGTCACGAGCATCTGGACGCCGCGGTCACACATCAGCATCTTCATATAGGCGGCTCCGTGGGGGCCCTAATCCTTCTTCTTTCCACCTCCCTCCTCCTCCCCCCTTCCTATTTTTGTTTTTTTAGATTCTATCTTTTATTTTCCTAATTTAGAGACTTCGGGAGTCAAAGATAGAAGTTGAAGGCAGACAGGCACGTGAAAAATGAAATAAAAATTATTTGATAAGCATTATGGAGGAGAATAGCGGCTTGAGGGAGGAAGCGACCACCGGTTGTCCCCAGCAGCTCGGCACTGCCCACAGTCACTCAGAGCGCAGGGTGATGCCACATCCTGCCTCTCCTGCCCTCATCAGTCCAAAGAAATATTTCATTTTCAGCTTTGTCTCTCTTTTTTTTTTTTTTTTTTTTAACACAACTCGCCTCCTTATATATATATAAAAAATTGTATATTCTAAAGAGTTTTCGCCCCTAACTCACCTCTGGGTTTCCTCCATCCATGACTTTTTACGCAAAACAAATCCCATCTCTTATATGAGGACGACCTGTAGGCTCTCCATGGTGCTTTATCGACTCGCCGACATATTTTCCTCCCTCTCCTCTTCGATGTCAAATGCTACTATAAATCTTATGTAAAGCTTGCAGGGTTAAGACACCAACTAACCATCAACTGTTTAGGGATCATGCGTTTTAAAGATGCGATTTCTTTGCATAAAAAGCAGAAAATTGCAGTTCAGTTGGAGCGGTCTGTTACACGCCTGAGCCAGTTGTGCCCGTTGGTACCAATGGAAAAAAAAAAAAAAAGATAGTTGAGATGGTTGCCTCCCCCTTTTCCTCCTCCTCCTCTTCATCCCCTTCCTCCTCCTTTTCCTCCCCTCTATCCAACCAACACAAACTAAAATTAACCGCGCGTGCCTCCAAACTGCGCCCACTTCAGCACCTCTGAATGCGGATTGGGTTTCTGTAAAAGCAGCGCCAATCATAAACCTCCCTCATTTTTTAAGTCCCGCCCACCGCCGCAAAGCTGGCTTCATTAAAGCATAAAAACCCTCCTGTTATTCAATTTTAAGAGAAGATAAATCTGGTTGTATAACAAAAAGTCAAAACTCACTTCAACGTTTTCATAACACAGAAGAATGGATTACATTGGGTTTATTGTGGAGGTCCAGAGGTGCCATGATTAAAATTTAACGCATCAGTGAATTCTTGAATAAATGTGCCACTAATAATTGAAATAAAGAGGAAATGAATATATTAACATATAAAAGGCGGTGTACTGTGCATCCCTGGATACTCCTGAAGCAAAGGTCAGATACTAGATGGACAGAAGATAACCTTGCAAGTCAGTCTCATAATGTATAACCCTGAGCTTTAGTTCTACACATCGTTATTCTGGGACTGGTCCGATCTAATCTGTTCTGGGAAAGAAGAAACATTCAGCAGAACCCTCCGAACTGGTCGTGTGAAATGACACCAATGCTCACCTGCTAAGTTTGGTTGTAGCCAATCCAGCAGATGCTTTAAGAAATCACAACAACATAAGCTTTTATGCTCTTGCTGTTTCTGTTTCAAAGATGACATCTTGGATTCTGACAAACAGATGTGATAGATCAGCTATGTCTGTCCTCCTGTTCCGCCTTGTTTATTTTGGTTTGGCTGTTGGCTCAGCAGCTCTTGCTTATAAAAAGAGCATAAGATTATTCTTGGAAACATAGGAATACGGCAAGAATTCAGCCTTTGGACGAAGTAAGACAGAAAGAACACGTCAAAGTTGGAAGCTAAAGCTAGGTTGAGAGGGAAATTTGGTGAACCCTTGTCGCCAGTGTGGAACAAGCCTCAATGGGCCTGCTTGTTATCTAATTGAGTTTGTAGAATTAATAAACACAATATTAAAGCGTAGTCTTGCAGTTTCTATGGTTATCTTTACTTTTTGTTCCTTAGAAGACTGTATGACTAGGTTCCTCTCTTAAGAAGGTATGATCTGTAACAAAAATGTGCAAGGGAGTGAGGCTACTTCAGAGAAAAACTAAAAATGGTTGGCCCTGCACAGGACAGCTCAAGATTTCTAAGTTAGCCAATACTAGCAAGTCAAGTTTTTGGAATAGGAGTTATCTGTAGCATGAGATAATTAAAGCATAGTCTGTTTCATGGATTCACGATCATGTGGTTTGAATATCTAGAAAACGTTCATGTTGTCAGAATTTGAATTATGTATTAAGTATTGTTGATTGATTGATTGATTGACTTTATTGATCTCACAGTGAAGAAATGTACTTGTTTCATCAGCTCAAATAGTCCAAGAAGAAGAATGTTCCAAAGGAAGAAAAGGGTGCATGGGATATATACCTTATATACAGTGCATCCACATATGGCAGGTTTTTTATTTTTATTTTCTATAGTAGATTAGATTAGATTAGATTAGATTAGATTAGATTAGATTAGATTAGATTAGATTAGATTCAACTTTATTGCCATTACACATGTACAGGTACGAGGCAACGAAATGCAGTTCAGGTCTAACCAGAAGTGCAATAGCAGCAAGTGCAGGATAAATAATGATTCCATAAATACAGGACATGGGTTTCTACTGAATAAATATAGAGATGAATACCATTATAAATAATGAATACGGTATAATATATAGATCACTAGTGTTATGAACTAAATTTACAGCTGGATATGTACCGAATATAATATACAGGTGGATATTACTATATAAAAAAAAGGTTTTTACAGTTATGTACAATAGCATAGATAGAATAGCACAGATGGGTTTTACTATAAAATGAATAAATAAAGTTATGATCATTATATCGGGTTATTGCACAGGATTTTTACATAGGAATTTATATAGTTGGATATTTCTATTTATATATATTATATATATAGTTATTGCACCGGTGTCAAATGGTAAAGTGCACATTGACATTGTACAAGTTATTGCCATTGTAGTGTCGCATTGTCACATTGATTGAATAAATAATTAAATACATAAATTTATTTCCATTTCATTTTAAATATTGTATATAAAAATTATTATGTAACCTTTTATCCATTTATTCTTTCCATGTGGCATGTTTCCCGCTCTACTGCTGATCTCTAAAGCCTTCTATGTATTGTGTCCATGTAGCTGTCTCATTGAATGCCTCAGGAGCTGTCCATGGTGCTGAATGTGGCGCTGTCCTCGGTCTCTTCTCAAACTGCACTCGCCACCGTTTCAGTTCTCAATCCTTCTCTCTCCCTGCCTTTCATCCGCCCAGCAGCCCTCGCACCGCACTGATTAGCAAGAGAGGGGCAATGAGAGATTGGCAAGCGATGCGTGGAGAATCGCACCCGGGAGAGAAGGAGAGACGCCACTTAAAGAGCCACAGACCGTTTTTAATGATTCCACTAGGCCGCGTCAGGGCGAGGTGATCTGCGTTTCTTAGCTGAAGGGCTTCACACTGTGAGCTTGTTCGGGTGTGGACGCTCGGTGGAAGCTGATTGTGTTTGTCTGTATTGGAGCCCACTGTATCAGCTTAAAATGGTAGCTCTTTAAATACCAGCAAATATAGGTATTGATGGAATCACTACTAGGTCAGGCATAAATATTTAAACAACTCTAATTTAAAATGTTCTCCTTTTATTTATTTTTTGGATTTTGCATCTTTGCTTTTTCCTCGGAATGATAAATACACAACATTTTAAAATCATAAGGAACTCTTCAAAAGACAGAGGTGTAAAAACTCTTAAAATCAGTTTCTGTTGTTATTGTTGAGGCAAAATCTCACTTTGACAATCAAAAACAAAAACAATCAGCAAGCAAAAAACAAAACACTAATTGGACTATATTATAAATAATTTGAGCTGAAGATATCTCAGGCAAAATCTGATATCTAAACATTGATATGACTACAAGAAAAACTATATTCAAAGTTTAATATTAAAAGACGTAAAACAATCAGAAACAAGACAAACAAAAGTCAATAAGGACCTGTATTAATTTTGTCACTATAAACATCTAACAGGATTATTTAAAGATTTACTAAATTTATCCAAAACCTGCTGCTGGAGAACTGCAGCAAAGAGACAGATATAGTGGCCACCAAGTCTCCATAATTATCATTAGATGCCATCTACAGCTGTGACCAAAATAAAAATCAGCAACAACCAAAACTCATCTCAAGCTGTAAATAAAAAAACAAACAAACAAAAAACTCCAAGGAGTGAAACACAGGATTAATACAGTTCACTTCAATATTAACTCATGCCCACTGTAAGCTATGATGGAGGATCTTGGATGCTGTGGGAATAGCTATCTTACAAATGTCTTATGAACAATATTAGAGTGCATTGCATCAGACTTTAAATGATAATTTTGTGGATTAAAGTGAACACAGAAAACACAGAAATCCTCATTAGTTACTACAACAGAATACAGATCAAACATATTTGGCCAAATGAGTCCACTGTAATCTGTGGAGTGAATTAGGGAGGCAATAAGAAATAACAGGTAACCTACAGAGATTGTGCAAAGACTTGTTAAATCCTCAAACCTTCTGAAATTAAAGAACCAAGTATTATTATAAAAGAAGGATGCAAAAAGTATGACATTAGTGTCACCAACATTCGCTCTGCCTGATCCTATTCACAATTATTTTTCAGCATTGAATAAATGTAATCTAATTAGTTTGGATAGATCTGAAATTTCAAAAAGGAGATTAATGCTTCACCAAATATACTATTGTATGGCTTTACACATCTTAAACAAATGTAACTGATTTAGTGCTTCTCAACGTCTCCAGAGAGCCTAGGAGAGACGATATTCTCAGTCGAGTGGTCAGACACTGGCAGGGTTTTCCTGACATTTATTTAAAGATGGTTTCAAGACTTAAAGACAGAGTACTGTGACTAGCAAGTCCTGCTGTGCATGCAGAACTGTCTTATTGTCTTACATCAATAATATAAAGTAATCATGCATAAAAAAATACATATCACGAGAGTAAGGAACGACAGGGCAAATCATTCCTCTTAGTTATTTTTCCTCAGAAAGCCTGTTTAGATGTGTGAAAATGCGATAGTGGCCCTTGCTTCCTTGCATTATCTGAAAATAAGACTCATTAACATAGAAATGACTTCAGGAGGAGAAGCAGAGTGTTACACCTTTGGTTAGAGGCAGGAGGGAGTTGGAGAAACAGGAAGGAGGAAAGAATTTTCAGTGGAGAGAGAAGACGAGGGGAAAGGAAGAAATACTATCTAGGGTTGACAGATGGTAGAGAGGGTAAAGGGACAGAGCAGAAGAAGGTTTACTCGACAAAAAAGAAAGTGATGATATCTTGGTGTGAAACTGTGTTGTCAACCAAGATAAAAAGAGCATTTAAGGGTATTAGATCCAACGATTACAAAAACTTTTCAGA